TCTCTCTCTCTCTCTCTCTCTCTCTCTCTCTCTCTCTCTCTCTCTCTCTCTTTCTCTCTCTTTTTCTCTGTCTCTCTTTCTCTGTTTCATTTGAAGCGCTGTGTGTACCGTAACCTCACTGCAGTTGGCACGAATGAATTTCCCTATTTGTCTGTTTTCGCTGTCTTGGTTAAGCCTTTAAGCCTATGCTTCGTTTACTACGGACCGATAATTGAAATTTCGATACCAGTGGGTGGCTATGGTCACATAGCATTACTTCTTTTTATTTTTACCGTTTGTCCAGTGCAGAGATTCAAAGTTTTTTAGGTTTCTGCAAACAACCATACAGCGATAATTTTGTCCACGATGTCATACAGTGAAAATTTTGTCCACATTCATACAGTGACAATTTTGTCCACATTCATACAGTGACAATTTTGTCCACATTCATACAGTGACAATTTTGTCCACATTCATACAGTGACAATTTTTTCCACATTCATACAGTGACAGTTTTGTCCACATTCATACAGTGACAATTTTGTCCATATTCATACAGTGACAATTTTGTCCATATTCATACAGTGACAATTCTGTCCATATTCATACAGTGACAATTTTGTCCACAATGTCATACGGTGACAATTTTGTCCACAAAGTCAGAGAGCTGTTCCCAGCTCAAGAAGGACGTTTCTCCAGTGTAGTTGTCAATCACTTCATACTGCGGGGAGGATTCCAGGGCCTAGGGGGAGGAGGAGTGGGAGGAGGAGTGGGAGGAGGGAGGAGGGAGGAAGACAAGACAGATTAAGCCAGCTCTTCACTATCATACATCACATGTTTTCTCATAAACTATTTTTAGTTTTTCGTGAGAGTTTTATGGCACTTGCAACCCAAACAGGTCATGTAAGTGCTGAGGATTAGAGGCGCTATAAAAGAGTAACATTTTTTTAAAAAGAAAGACGAGAGATAAGGAAAATAGTCGCTTGATGGGAAAGATGGAGCAAACCACACCAGAGCATCCGCCAACCACCCACGCATCCCACTAACTAACGTGACCACACAACCTAGGCCCTGTAAGGACAACAGTCTATGGAAGGGAAATCTTTGATAATACTTTTGTTTTCTTTTTTGTTTGAATAAAAGTTTTATAGCACTTGCAACACAAAAAGATCATATAAGTGTCAAATATTAGATATGTTATAAGAGAGTAACAAACATAAAATAGGAGAGGAGATAAAGATGATAGATGTATGATAGGAAATAAGAAGCAAACCACACCAGTGCACCCGCCAACCACCCACTTACAATATTTTGTTGCAAACATCAGGACAATAGTTTGCCCACCAGCATCTGCAATGTAGCACTTAAGCACTTCACTGTTGCACGCAGGAGAATCAAGTTCAATTTCTGAGCGGGGAGAAATTTCATATCGAGGATCTTGGTCTTTCTGCTGGGATGCTGTATCCATCTCAGCCCGTATAGGCCCAGACAGGCAGGGTCAAAAGCCCACCTCTAAAATGATCTAAACGGTGTCGATGGGGGCGTAAAAATACCTACGTGAAAAAAACCTTTGGGGAGGATGTCAACAAAAAAGTCCAAACTGGGAGTCAGGCTTACTCTGTTCACCTCTCCAGCCTCAACAGCACAAAGCCTGCTTCTACTATCAAGGCACCCCGGAAATAGCAGTTTACAAGAGAGTGACAAACATACAAAAATAAGTAGAGGAAGAATGACGATAGTAAGGATGAGGAAAGAAAAAGCAGCAGTTCCCCCTATGTTGTTTCGGCACAGTTATGAGCATGACATTGACAAATCAGCCAAATTACAAATTCTATTGTGCATAAGAACATGTTAATACCCCCCCTTTGGAAATGGCCTAGAGACAACTTCAGTCAGTAGCACAGCCCTAGAGAAGAAGGAAGAGTTATAAGGACCAAAAACCAACGCTCTACCTTGCCAGCCAGGACCAGGGTGTACGGACAGCCGAGACGGTCAGCATCCACCTGTCTTCGTCCGATGGTCAGCGACATGCGGTCATCGATGATCACTTCGCTACGTAGGTGGGGGTGGCTCGTCAGTTGGTCACTCAGGGACTCCGCTAGTCGCAGGTACTCCTCCCCATGGGTACGGTCCTGGTGACATACACACAGACAAAGGTTACAGACAGACAGACACACACACACACACAGACAAAAGTTACAGACAGACAGACACACACACACAAAAACAAAAAAAAAAGGTCACCAATAGACAGACAGATAGACACACACAGAAAAAGGCGACATACAGATAGACACATACACACACACAGACAAAGGACACACACACATACACACACACACACAAAGGTTACATACAGACACATACACACAGACAGACAAAGACCACACACACAAATACACACACACACACACTGACCTTTTTAGGAATGATGCACAGCTGGTATGGAGCCAGGAGTCGCGGCCAGCGTAGAGAGGCGTCCGTAGACAGAGACTCCAGGGACGCCTGTAGGATCCTGGTCATGCCCAGACCATAGCAGCCCATCTCATACTCACTGGGGGGACACACAGACAGAACTGTCACACACATGAAGACACACACATAGACACACACATAGCAGCCCATCTCATACTCACTGGGGGGGGGACACACAGACAGAACTGTCACACACACATGCCTAGACCATAGCAGCCCATCTCATACTCACTGGGGGGACACACAGACAGAACTGTCACACACACGAAGACACACACATAGACACACACATAGCAGCCCATCTCATACTCACTGGGGAGGGGGAGGAGGAGATATATAGACAAAACTGTCACACACAAATAGACACCCACACATAGACACATACATAGACACACACATAGCAACCCATCTCCTACTCACTGAGGGGGGATGCCGCACAGACAGAACTGCCAAACATATATACACACACATACACACATACATAGACACACACACAAACATACATACACATACACATATACATGGACACACACACACACACAAACAGACACATAGCAGCCCATCTCGTAGTCACTGTGGGGTTTTAGTGTCAGTGAGAGTTTTACGGCTCTTGCAACCCAAATAGGTCATATAAGTGCTGATGATTAGAGGTGTTACTAGAAAGTAACATACAAAGAAGAGAAGGAGGAGAGATAAGGACGATAGATGTTTGATAGGAAAGAAGCAGGAGAGATAAGGATGATAGATGTTTCATAGGAAAGAAGGAGCCAACCACAGTCGAGTATCCGCCAGCCACCCACCAGCCAGGCAAACAACACACTGAGAACACAGCACTCACACCATGGAGCTCCCATCCTGGGCCCTGTAACACGCGTTGAACACAGACGAGTATTTGGTGCCAAGGTAAAATGTGTGACCCACCTGAGGATAAAACACACACAGGTAAAATTTGTGATCTATGTGTAAGATAACAGGTAAAATATGTGATCTATGTGTAAGGGAACAGGTAAAATGTGTGACCTATGTGTAAGGTAAGAGGTAAAATATGTGACCTATGTGTAAGGTAAGAGGTAAAATATGTGACCTATGTGTAAGGTAACAGGTAAAATATGTTTTTGTTTTAGTAGAGGCTTTACTGGGGGCTCTCGTAGCCTAGAGGTTAAGGTGTTGGCCTCTCATTCAAAGGTCCCGGGTTCGAATCCGGGTAGCGACCGAAAAAATTTTCTTCTCTAAAATTGTCTCCTTTCACCTCCTTTCCTGCTCTCTAGCAATGTTCTGTTGTCTGCTTTCATTTCCGCTTTCTGCCCCCATCCCCTCACCTCCTTTGCCCCCTCCTCTGGGCTCCTGACTCTTTCTGCAGCCTTTCTACTGCTACTCCTTGGCTCCTCCTTACCGCTGTCTTTCTGCCACACCCCTGATCTTCTGGTTGGAAAGATCTACACCTAGCCTTCTCGGACAAGGGCGAAAAATCTCGGAGGGCCTGTGTGCAAGTTGCGCACGTTAAAGATCCCTTGGTGGTCTAAAATCGATAAGAGTAGGCTTCGGCCGCCACCCGGGCAAAATTCAAAATTTCCTACCAACTGAAAATATTAGGTGTGTCCCGCGCGTTCATATGACCTTAAGCAGTTGCGAGCGCCGTAAAACACTATACAAAAACAAAACAAAAAAGAGGTTTTACTGCGCTCACAACTGCATAAGGTCATATGAGCACCAAGGTAAAATATGTGACCTACGTGTCAGGTAATATTCACCTTTATCCCTCTCCTCCCTACCTCTCACCTCTCCTCTCCAGTAGGTGAGCACCACTTACCTCTATCTCTCTCCTCTGCTCTCTATCACTCACCTCTATCCCTCTCCTCTCCTCTCTACCCCTCCTCTCCTCTCCTCTCCACCGCTCACCTCTATTCCCCTCCTCTCCTCTCTACCACTCACCTCTATCCCCCTCCTCTCCTCTCTACCACTCACCTCTATCCCCCTCCTCTCCAGTAGCTGACACTCCGAACCTGGGAGCTGACACACGCCGGGTAAACTGCCATCCTCTGCAAGTGAAAAAAAAGACAGAAACATAAGAGGGAGAGAAGAGAAGTAGGACCTATCAGTAGTGCCCTCCAAACGGATGGACAGACGAACAGACAGAAAGACGGAGAGATGAGCATTACCATTGGCACATGTATAGATATATGCGTTGAGCTCAAAAACATTTCAGCGTCATCATTCATCATCATCATCCGGTGCCTTGCCGACTGGCATGGGCGATCATATCATGGACCTCCACTTCACTCTGTCTTGCATTGCAGCGATGGTGTCTGTCATTCTTGCTTTTCTCAGCCATGTTGTCAACTTGTCCGGTATCTTTTCCCTCTGTCTGCCTCTGTTTCTCTTTCTATCAAACCTGCCTGTTGTTACAATAATATTCTCCAATGCTTTTTTTCGCATTGTGTGTCCAATGAACTTTGCCTGTCGCTTTCTTATATTCGTCATAAGCTGTCGTCTGCAATTTGCTTCAACCAAGACTTCTTCATTACACACACATAATATATTTACATATACACCGGTACACATTCTGTGTGTCCACCCAATGAAGACAGCCTTTTTTCCCCTCAATAATGGGTGGCGGTCTTACACACAATTTAAACTGTATATATTTAGGTTTAGTAAGAGTTTTACGGCACTTGCAAGACAATGAGGTCATATATGTGCCAAAGATTAGAGATGTTACAAGAGAGTAACTAACACAAAAAAGGAGAAGGAGAGATAAGGACGTAATATGTTTGAAAGGAGAGAAGCAGAAAACCACACCAGAGCACCCACCAACCACCCATATATATATATATATATATTTGCTGTGTATCCCACAAGCCAAACATACAACTAGACTTACCTTCCGCTAGTTCTTTATTCATCTCAACTCCACATCTGAAACGACAGAAACAAATAGAAAACTTATGGGCGACCATGACAGTGCCCAATCTAGGATATTGCACTTCATGTCTATGGGCGGCCACCACAGCCTAGGATGTTAGTTTTAGTAGAGGTTTTTCGGCACTCGAAACTGCATAAGGTCATATGAGCGCCAGAAGATTAGAGGTGTTACAAGAGAGTAACAAACATAAAAAAGAAAAAGGGGAGAAAAGGACGATAGATGTTTGATAGGAAAGAAGAAGCAAACCACACCAGAGCACCCGCCAACCACAAACTCTAGGATGTTATACTTCTAGTCTTTGGGCGGTCATGACAGTACCTGGTCTAGCATATTATAATTGTGTCTAAAGAGTCATGACTCAGTCACCACCTACCTGTGACAGGTGTGTAGATAGTGGACATTTACCTGTGACAGGTGAGCAGGGAGTCCTGACCCACGTCAGTGAGATAGTGGAACTCGTGGGAGAGGTCACCGCCGATTATACCTGTAGCTCCAGACACTGTGGAAGAGAGAGCGAGAGTGTGAGAGTGTGAGAGACAGAGAGAGAGACAGAGAGAGAGAGAGAGAGAGAGAGAGAGAGAGAGAGAGAGAG